AATATCGATACCGTTTTATCGCCCAGGCCTAGTGCTTGGTCTACTGACTACAACACATGCAACAAGTCATGAAGAACTTCTCTCCATTAGACTACCAAGGGATTTTCTTGTGAATATTTATGAGAAGACCTCTGTATCACTGCCATGACCACATCAGCTTCCAGAACTCCGCTATCACAACCCAAGACAGGAAAGAGCATCAACAATGCTGTGAAATATAATCCCCCCCATTATGACACAACGATCACTTGGATCGCAAAAAGCTTTGGACCATTTTATTTAGCATACTTTGTTTTATAACTTGAGTAAAATTCATGTTCCAATGGAGGTAAAAAGGGTAAATTAATTTAGGAGCTTGAATTGGGACTAAAGCCTCAAGGTTGCGACAACAACTGGACTGCAAGTTAAATCCTAGAGAATTTAGATCGTACAGCAGGTACTTAATGGATGCGAGCTCTGCACACATCTGGTTTCAATACTGAGATAGAGGAAACTTGAAGTTCTGGATCGCAAATAGGCATAATTGCATATATACCAATATAAATATACACATTTACAGAGGGAAAAAGTTACATCAATGATGTAGCTTGTGAATGATATTCAAACTCCTGAGCAAATTTTTGTCTTGCCCAAATTCAATAAACGCCGATTAGGAACAGATCACAGTAGTCTTTCCTCACTCTTTTTACATTTGTTTGAATAAGCAGGCTTAGAATAAGACTTTATTGGGTCTGGTTCTGGTGCAGTCTGAATTTGTAGTGCACAATTTCAGATGTGCAGATAGTGCCAAAAAGCTTACTATGTAAATGCAGCAGGTTACTTTCTAAACACTGCGCTGTTTGTTTGAGCGGCCCAGCATGCCAACTTCAGACTCAACCAATGGTCTGAGTTTGGGGCAGGACTTCCATTGAGTGCTGCTAATGGTACATTTTCTTAAGATTGCAGGGAAACAAAACTGTTTCAAGGTACCAAGCTGCTATGGTTGGGTATTTACAATGTCCATTTCAAAACACAGGGCCCAAACTAGACAGTTTAATTACTATTTATGTGCATTTCATGTCAAAAACTATTAAAATTATAACTCATGGCCACTTTCTCTTATAAAGAGTATTCATTGATCCTGTAAATACAAAGTTTTGTAATGAAACTCTAGATGGCGCAGGTCGATAGGTTCTAACTCAATCTGACATAATGACATCATTGTTCACGTGGCGCAGCTGATTGGTTTCCTTTCGCATCAGCAGCCAATGAGCTTGCTGCTCAACATTCAAATACTTGGCTAGTG